AGTGTGTGTGTGTTTTTTTTTGGGGTTTGGGGGGGGGTAGGGGAGAAGGGAGAGTAGGGGAGGACAACAAAACAAAAACAAGAAACTCACCATACTCCAAGGTGGCAATAGAGAGCACACACTAGACAAAGTGATCTTAACACTTAGGGACTAAAAAGTATGAGCACACTGACACCGATTCCTTTCATGCCATACTTCCCAGCAATTAACAGAACAGAAGAGGGGGCTTGGAATGAGTGAAGAAAAGATGGTATATAAAAAGAGGTCTTATAAAAATTCAAAAACATTGTGCTTCTTAACATATTTGTCGCAATCAGTGATAGCGAATCTGGGTTATGCAGCAACAAGTAGACTACTCAGTGTAATGCCCTAGGAAAGCTGAAAGTTTAAATTGTAATATATTCAGTTCTCCCATTGGGTACTTAATCTAGTCCTTTATGGTGCATAAATAATTATTTCTTAGGCTCTCTCTACACTGGCAGAGCATTTTTGCCTGGAGCTTGGTTGCTGATAAAAAAAGCACTTAAAGAAAATTGCTGGTGTTTGTTCACATTGTCTTCCAATGGTGGCATAGTACATTCACACCTGCGGCACTTGCATCAGCAATGACAGCAATCCCACAGTGCAGCTCTCCCCCTTCTGCAGCTAGGTCTTCTGGGAAGGTGGAGGGGGAATCGCAGGGCATCATGGGTCTGGGCTCACTGCGCCATGATGCACTGCTCAGGGACGCCCAGAGGATTCAGGGGGCTGGGGTCTTCGGCAGCGGGGGTCCTTCTGCTCCAGGTCTTCGGGGCACTTCGGCGGCCGGTCCCGGAGCGGAGGAAGCCCTCACTGCCAAAGACCTGGAGCGGAAGCAGCTCTAGGTCTTTGGCAGCGGGTCCTTCACTCGATCCGGGTGTGTTTGGCGGCACTGAAGGACCTGCCACCGAAGACCCAATGAAAACTCTCGTGGGGGCCCCTGAAAACTCTTGTGGCGGCCTCTGCGGGGTCTTGGGCAAATTGCCCCACTTGGCTTTCTGTCCCAGCGTTCCACATGCTTCCATCTTCAGTTCATGACATTTTTCAACATCCCTTGATTTCTGCTTGCCCCACCACAGGAATGGATCCCACACTGATTTCCACTAGCACATCACGAATAGCAGTGGAGTTAATCTTAATGTTACAAAGGCAATGGCAGTCACAGTTGTTAGACACTGTGTCAGACATGGAAAGTAGCAACATTAGATTGTTTTTGGCATTCATGGAAGAGCAGAACACAGTGGAATGTTGCTTTTGGGCTCAGGAAACTAGCACAGAGTGGTTGGATTGTATCGTTATGCAGGCCTGGGATGACGAGCAGCAGCTGCAGAACTTTCAGATGTAGAACTTTCCTGGAACTGCGTGCTGAGCTTGCCCCAGCCCTGTGGTGCAAGGACACCCAAATGAGAGCTGCCCTCTTGGTGAAGAAGCATGTGGAAATCGCAGTGTGGAAGCTGGTGACTCCAGACTGCTACCAGTCAGTCGCAAACCAGTTTGGAGTAGGAAAGTCGACTGTTGGGGCTGTGTTGACGCAAGTGTGCAATGCCATTAAATCGTATCCTACAGCGAAAGACCACGACTCTTGGCAACATGCGTGAAATTGTGGATGGCTTTGCAGCAATGGGATTCCCTAACTGGAGGGGCGATGGACTATGCCAGCCATCTAATTCTGGCACCAGACCACCTTGCAATGGAGTACATCAATCGGAAGGAGTACTTCTCCGTGTTTTTGCAGGTGCTTGTGGATCACTCTGGGCGTTTAACTGACATCAATGCAGTGTGGTCCGGAAAGGTGCCTGTATTTTTAGGAACACTGGCCTGTATAGAAAGCTGCAAGCAGGGACTCTCTTTTCAGACCAGAAGATCACTGTAGGAGAAGTCGAAATGCCCATAGTGATGCTGGGAGACCCTGCATACCTCTTAATGCCATGGCTCATGAAGCCGTACACGGGAAACCTAGATAGTAGTAAGGAGCAGTTCAACAGGCTGATTAGGTGCAGAATGACCACTGAACACGTGCGTGGCCGATTATAGGTGCGCTGGCGATGCTTACATGGCAGGTTAGACCTTAATGAGAAAAATACTCCCACGGTTATAGCTGCGTGTTGCACACTGCATAATATTTGTGAAAGGAAGAGCAAAAAATTTACACAGGGGTGGACTGCCAAGGCAGAACGCCTGGCTGTTGATTTTGAGCAGTCAGATACCAGGGCGATTAGAGGGGTGCAACGTGTGGCAATAAGAATCAGATGCCTTGAGGCAACACTTTGAAAATAAAAACCAGTAATGTTTGTTGCTATGCTTGGGACTGTAATGGTTAATTAAATTTGGTATGCCAGGAAGCAATTGTGATTGTTAAGGCCTAGGATTCAATGTAAGGAATTGATAAAAGTGCCTGTTGATTTGCAGGTGTCATCTGCTATTATAACTTGCATGGAAAAAATAAAAAGTGCTTAAAATTCAAAAAACGTTGCTTTTATTGCCAAATAAGCCACAACACACCACCACACGCCCACACAGATTTTTGGTGGGGGAGAAGATACTGGGGGGGACTGACTTTCAGAGCTGAGCATAAGTCCAGCTTTCATTTGAAAAGCTGTGTGCAGGAGTGTAGTGTAGAGGAAAGCGCGAAATGCCAGAAAGCAGAAAGGAATGCGCAGGGGGAGTTTGTGGAGCACATGAGAAAGAGTTCTGAATGTGCTGAAGGGGAGGGCGTGCACGCATCTGCTCAGTTTGGACCATGTCAGTTTGATGCTCCAAAATTTGTATCAGCCTCTCCGTGGCATCCCTATTGTATGCATCATTTGATTTTCTTTCCTGTGTGTTGCTTTCCCTCCATTTCTTGTATTCAGTCTTTTCTGCCTCTGACTGCAGCAGCACCTCCCAGAACATATCTTCCTTGCTTCGTCTTGGGCGTTTTCTTATCTGGCACAGATGCTCTGCTGCTGTTGGGGGGGCAGGGGGGTGGACTTCTCAAGGTCATGTCTGGAGAGGCATAATTAACAACAAACAGAAGCACTATTGTCAACGACACACAGAGCATTGAAACACTACATTAAAATACACAGCTGGTAACATACTTATCACTTTCTCTGTGACCCTAGGCAAGCACCCATGTGGGAGAACACCCCAAGCATGGTGAGTGAACCCAAGGGCAGGGGCATTGTTCATTGTAGAAAAGCAATGTGAAAGGGTCGTGGGGCACTTATGGGGGGCAACACTTTAAATTTTCCCATCATTTTCCACAGGTGGGGTCACTATGGAAGATTTCTCACTCCTGAGGGTAAGCAAGGAAGCAAGGGTGCATCTGCTACACGCTTGTGGCTTCCGCCCCAATCACTATGCTGCTTACCTGTGTGCAGCTTTGGGCCCTGCCCAAGTGTCTCTCAATAGGGGAAGGAACAAAGCAATTCTGCCAAGGAACCTCTGGCAGAGGATTGCTGTGTACCTCTAGGAAAGTTTCCTAGAGATCTCTGGAGAATTCTCAGAGTGCATCAACTCCCCGTTTCACCGTACTGCCTAGCTGCATGGGGAAGTGCCTAGCACACAGAAACACAGCCAGCCTTGTATCTTTCTCTCCCCTGTCCTCTCCTTGTTCTGCCACTCCAGAGAGCAACTGCAGAGACTGGCTAGACACCTCTAGAGTAGGGAGCAGCTCCTGACTGGACGCACCACTGGGCAACCCCATCGTGGGCTTCACAACTTCTCCAACCTCCACCTCTTCATTAAGGACTTCCTCCTCTGGGTTAGGTACACTTTCCACTGGCTTCAGACCTGCCGAAGTATCCACAGTTCTTTTGGTGGTGGAAGTGGGGTCTCCATCGAGGATAGCGTTCAATTCCTTATAAAAATGGCAAGTCTGGGGCGCAGCACCGGAGTGACAGTTTGCCTCCCTTGTCTTGTGGCACGCGTTCCTCAGCTTCTTCACCTTTGCTCTGCACTACAACATGTCCCACTCAAATCCCTTTTCGCACAAGCTGCACACAAGCTGGCTGTAGGTACTGAAATTCCTATGGCTAGAGTGCAGCTGGGACTGGACAGCCACCTCTCCCCAAACACTCAGATCCAGTAGCTCCACAGTGGTCCAAGTGGGAGATCGTGGCGGCTCCATGCAGCAAACTTTCACCTGGGAGGGTGCGATGTGAGCTCTCTACATCGAGCAAACAGGAAGGGGAATTTCAAAATTCCTGAAGCTTTAAAGGGGGAGTGAGTGGTGGAAGGTTGTTTAACTGGGGGCAGAGTTGAAACTACTGACCAAAGTGATCAAGATGGGCATTCTGGGACACCTTCCGGAGGCTAATAACAGCGCTAAAATTAAGCATGGTGTCTATAATGACACTACAGCGATAAAACCTTGGTGCAAAAAGCCTTGACTCTCATCGAGGTGGGTTTTTTTGTTTTGTTTTGCTTTGTTTTTTTAAAACAGCGCCGCAACTGAGGAGTGTCGTGGAAAAAAATGGCTTTGCACTGTGTACGCCTCTGCTATTTCATTGCCAAAAGGCAGCTTTTGGCAAAAAAGCTTGGCAATATAGACCAGCCCTTAGAATTAGGGGCTCATATACATTAATTACCACATAATAAAGTGAACTAGTCTAAAATGAAGATTAAGGAGCCAATCATGTTAAATATGGCTTTATATTTCTTGCCAGATACAAGTGGGTGAGAGAAGAACAAAAAAAAAACCAACCAATCATTGCAGCTGTTATTGGTGTGTGCTATATGCAGTCCAATTACAATTGGAATGACAAACTTACTTAGCAACAATCCACATTAATTTCCAATGAACTTTGCATACATTCAACAGCATTCATGCTTGCTTTATTAGCTTTTAAACAATTCAATACTTGTTAGTCTTCGCTTTTTTGTCTCAATGTGCATTATATTATTTTCTGTGCAACACTACCTTTCCAACCCACGTACAAGCAAAGCCAACAACTACCAGGCACAACTTGAGTGACTTAAATTTTTATAACATTCCCGTGAAAATGCACCCAACCGTTTCACATCTAAGTCACAAGTTAAGATGGATTACTCATGGATTTGGCCTTTTCAAAGAGCTGGACAAGGCTATCATAAATCACTAGACATGGTTACAGGTCAGGCATTTCCTTTAAAATACAATATATTTTTGATTGACAAATTGAAAAGAATCATTGTTCAGCCACAAAGGACAATAAGAGAAAGTGCCAAAAGACAGATTTAAACATTTACTTGCCCTGATTTCCAGTAAACAGGTAGAACTGGCAAAGTTTTTTGGAATGGAGTGTTTAAAATTAGATGGATGTCAAAGATTTTAGACATTCAACTTCTAATCAATTTTGTTAAAGAGCCCTGTATAGCAACAGCATTGACCAAGAAACTATTCAACGATTTTTCCTACAACATGAAATTATTTCTTCTTATTTCTGCTTTCAAGATGTACATAACCTGTGCTACTTTGTGCAGCAAATTAGGCCAATAAGTAAGCTTTTCAATGGGGCACTCCGATTTGCTTCAGAAATCAGACAGATTCTGGACTACTTATGTCAAGAGGACAACAGAAAACAAAATGCTTATTTAACAAATTAAGTATATTTTAATTATACTATTTTTTTTGTTTTTTTATAAAACATTAAAGCACTATCCGAGAGATGCTCTGTAATCAACATTTACACTTCAGCTAAGTATACTTAACTTTGACTAAAAGACATCTACTCTTGTTGATACTTCACTGCTAAGGACAAGCTACTGTGTCTCTAAGGCAACCTGAAACTAATTTACCCAGTGAGGCCCTCTGGTTTCTGGAGCAGCTTTAAGTCAAAGAAGCATTTTGAACAGGGAACAATACAATCAGTACAGCGAACACTGTGTTATTTGTTTTGCTATTAAATTTAAACTGCTTATGTTGTCCCATTCAATTTACTGAAGATTTTTGTATTGATAACAATACAAATGCAATATAGAAGCAATTAAATCAGGCAGTGGGGTTTGATGGTTTTGGCACCTTAAAAGGGAGTTTAGTATAATGGGAGAAACATATTAGCTGTATATTTCTGATATAGTTATCTTTATGTAGTAAAAGAGCAGCTATTTGCACCTCTTAGCCACTGTTGCAAACTTTGGAAAACACTGCAAGTGTTAACAGAATATAGACCAATGAAAAGTTTTCTTGGCAATCTTAGTAATTTAAATGAAACTCAGATTCTAGAACATAATGCTATGAACAAGAGGGTGGTATCTATAGCAAATTCCATGATCACGGTTTTACACTGTGAACATTCAGGGCCCCAGCTACACCAACACAAACCTACAATATTTTATAACTTATTCAAGCCCTGACCTGAAGATTTGTGAAACTAACACTACTCTGATTTAAATATTTGATTTTAAGTAGTTAAGAGCCAAACAATTTCATAATTAGACTAATAACTTCAGATTTTGTTCAAGTCTGTCTAGAAATGATTGTTAGTCAAACTCTTCAGCAAGTGCTATGTATCACTACAAAAAAAAGGCAGCTTTTTAAAAGCTTTTCCTATTTTCATTCTTAAAGCTGAACCAGATTGTCATTAAAGAACAACCTATTTCATGCTTATATTTTGTTATAAAGGATGATCATTTTTAGGGCTGTCAGTTAACTCATGTGATTAACTCAAAAAATCAATCATGATTAATCACAGGTTTAATTGCACTGTTAAACAATAGAATACCAACTGAAATTTTTTTCAAATATGTTTGAATTTTTCTACATTATCAAATATATTGATTTCAATTACAACTCAGAATACGAAGTGTATAGTGCTCACTTTATATTATTTATTACAAATATTTGCACTGTAAAAGTGAAACTGAATAGTATTTTTCAGTTCACCTCATACCGTAGTGCAATCTATCGTGAAAGTGCAACTTACACATGTAATTTTTTTAAAACATAAACGCACTCAAAACAAGGTAAAACTTTAGAGCCTACAAGCTTCATGCTTCCATGCTGATGACTTGTTAAAAAAAAAAAAGTGTTAATTAAATTTGTGACTGAACTCCTTGGGGGAGAATTGTATGTCCCCTGCTCTGTTTTACCTGCATTCTAACATATATTTCATATTACAGCAGTCACGGATGATGACCCAGCACATGTTGTTCATTTTAAGGACACTTCCCCTGCAGATTTAACAAGACGCAAGAGAAATACCAACGTGAGATTTCTAAAGATAGCTACAGCACATCCCAAGGTTTAAGAATCTGAAGTACCTTCCAAAATCTGAGGGGGATAAGAGGTGGAACACGCTGTCAGAAGTCTTAAAAGATAAACATTACAGTGCAGAAACTACAGAACCTGAACCACCAAAAAAGAAAATCAACCTTCTGCTGGCAGCATCTGACTCATGATGATGAAAATGAACATGTGTCAGTCCGCACTGCTTTGGATCATTATCAAGCAGAACCAGTCATCAGCATGGACGCATGTCTTCTGGAATGATGACCAAAGCATAAAGGGGCACACGAATGTTCAGCATATCTGGCATAAAAATACCTTGCAACACCGGCTACAAAAGTGCCAGGTGACATTGTAAATCAGAAGCAGACCGCATTATCTCCTGTAAATATAAACAAACTTGTTTGTTTTGTTTTTGCGTGCAGTTATGTAACAAAAACCCTACATTTGTAAACTGCACTTTCACATTAAGGAGATTACAGTACTTGTATGAGGTGAACTGAAAAATACTGTTTATCCTTTTTACACTGCAAATGTTTGTAATAAATATAAAGTGAACACTGTACACTTTGCATTCTGTGCTGTAATTGAAATAAATATATTTGAAAATGCAGAAAAAACATCCAAAAATATAATAAACAACAGAATAGACTAACAGTGAGATTAATCACAATTTTTTTAATCTTGCAATCAATTAATTTTGTTTGACAGCCCTAATCATTTTAAGTGACTTGCCTTGTCAACATTCTCTTGAAGCATAAGTAAGTAGCCTCTAATCCAGTGGTCTCCAACCTTTTTACGCACAAGATCGCTTTTTGAATTTAAGTGCAACACAAGATCTACTCTGCCCCTTCCCCGAGGGCTGGGGGTGTGGCAGGGGGTTGGGGTTTGGGGGGGGTGCTGGTTCTGGACTTGGTCCGAGGGGTTCAGAGTGCAGAAGGGGGCTGGCTCTGGGCTGAGCCTGGGGCAGGAGAGTGGGGTGCAGAAGGGGGCTCCGGGCTGAGCTTGAGGCAGGGGGGATGGGGTACTGGCTCTGGGAGGAGGGGGTCACGACTGGGGCAAGGGGTTCAGGGTGCAGAAGGGGGTATGGGGTGCTGGCTCTGGGGAGGGGCTCAGGGTGCGGGCTTCTGCCGGGTGGCTCCCGGTTGGCGGGGCAGCAAGGCTAAGGCAGGCTCCCTGCCTGCCCCTGCCCCACGCCGCTCCTGGAAGGAGCCAATGCACCCCTGTGTCCCCGTCCCCCCCCCCCCGCCTGCCCCTCTGCAGGCACCACCCCCGGAGTTCCCATTGGCCACAGTTCGCTGTTTCTGGTCAATAGGAGCTGCAGGGGCAGTGCCTGCAGGAAGGAACAGCGTGTGGCGACCCCACCCCTCCCCCGGGGCCACAGGCTGCTTCCAGGAGCGGCAGGGAGCCTGCCTTAGTGGCAGTCCCACGGCACCACCAGCTGGAGACTGCGATCAACTGGGAGAGTCTTCAGGATAGACCAGACGATTGCGTTCGACCAGTTGGTGAACACCGCTCTAATCCATAATGTTGTAATACTTCCACTGTGGGCTCCAATAAGTTCTCTGCCCCCTTTCTTTCTGCTACTCTTCCTCCTCTCAAAGGCTTCAGGAACTAATTTTACCAACCTGTTTTTACTGACTTTTTGTAATGTGAACTATAGATATAAGAGCAAACAACAGATTTATTCTGTTTAAGATTCTTTGTCTTCAGACACTGGTGATGCCTTCAGTCTCCATGGATGGAACTTACTGAGCATGAAAATAAGAGTGCGTACTGCATCTCTCAGGAACGCACAGCAGAAGATAACAGAAGTTGCAGCATAACAGACTGACATACTTCAAGCACCTGACTAGACTTTCTCCAAGCCAAGGGAGGGGAAATGGACACCTAAAAAGAAGGGTAAAGGTGCTACCTGTATGAACCCAGGTCTCTCCTGGTTAGTGAATAGTGCATTAATTGATCAAAATCACAATGTTTTCCCATGGTAACTGAAAGAAGTTCTCTTTTTAAAAATGTCCATTCAGAAGATTGAAGAATTCAGTCTGCTTTTGGGCTGGAGCACTCATATGTCCTCTAGAGAAATTCTTAAAAATCAAATATTGGAACAAATTAAGTCATTCACCAAACATTAGGTATTCTACAATAAATAAGCACTTACTTCATTTCCATGTTTCTGCAGAAATTCTATTTCCTGTTGCGTGAATGTGGTCATGGAGATAGATTTAACCCTGTGGGGTGGATTTAAACCTCGCCTAAAGAAGTAAAACAAATGTGTCAGTATTCTGAAAAATCAAAATGTAATACCTCTTCTGTATTTCCAATAAGCTACAACAACAATTTAAATTAAAATATGGTTCAAGAGCTGGCCTTGGGAAGATATGCAGTGAAATTACAACCACTCAATCTAGTGAGCCCTGAATGGTACTGTATATTTAATATACTGTACACAAACACACACAAACTACATTAAAGGAATGTTAAGCCTGCAAAGTTAATCCCCAAAAGTTTGCTTGTACAATCTTAATTTTGGCTCTTTGTTAATTACGATAGGTTTTTGTTACATAACTTTTTTCCTACAGTCCAGCGCTTCATCCAATCTCAGTGAATTACCCCCATCCTCTTTCCCCTCCATCCCGGCTTCTTCTCCCAGTCTTTGCCCAGCCAGTCCCAGTTCTCCTCCCCCCCCCCCCAACAGATCTTGCTCTTTTGTCAGATCTTTGACCTCTCCCCAACCCTACCACTAGTCCTCAGTCCCAGTCATTTTGCCTAGTTAATTTCAGTTTCTATCCCCATCTGCCAGTCTCCCTGCCCACCCTGCCTTTGCTCCAATTTAGTCCATCCTCCATCCCTATGACTGGCCTTATCCCCTCTACATTCAAAGCCAGGCAGCTTCTTCCTTCACACTGCCTGTGCACCAGTGGGGGAAATATGAGATCACAAGAGAGGCACCCCACTTTCAATTCCAGTGCCCAGACCAAGATCCAGCACAGCTGAAATGGAACGTCTCATTGAGCCCCAAACTAGAACATGCTCAGTGCCAACAGAATCTGAGAATTTGGCTGCTAAAATTAATCTATACTGAGCATGTGTAAGTCACAATTTTTCAAAGGCTTATAATTTGGCCAAATTTGAGCAGATTTTCATTAAAACAGCGAATGGCACATTCCTGACAAAGGCTACACCCCCGTCCCACCAATTTTCAAGTCCTTGCACCAAAGCATGGGTGCACTAGAGCTGCTGAAAGATACCATCACCAGAAATTATTAACATAAAATTACACTTTTCCCGCTAACTTTGTTCTCCAAAATGGCTGAAATTTCAGAAAGAGATCAGCCTTAGACAGTCACCTGATATGGAAAATTCCAGCCCAAACAGTTAAACGCTGCCATAGTTACAAAAAATTGAAAACAGGATCTTATAATGGGAAGCGTCAGGTAACAGAAAAAAACAACAGGAGTACTTGTGGCACCTTAGAGTAACAAATTATGCTGAAATAAATTTGTTAGTTACTCTCTAAGGTGCCACAAGTACTCCTGTTCTTTTTGCGGATACAGACTAACACGGCTGCTACTTTGAAATTAGTAACAGACGTGCTACAAACCCTGCCAGTAATATTATAGAAATCATGTTTAAAAACAGTTATGGTTTTGCAAATAGGGAACAATCATTTAAACTAGAGCCTTCTAATGCAATGTATGCACTGGATATGCAAGTGTTAAAATGCCTTTTGCTTTAGCTACACTGCACTCTTGCATCCTATGCAATAATTTACAATAATACAGAGACTGATCTAAAAATGATGTTGCACAACAACAGTTCAGAGTGAAGCTCTGAATGTGGTTTTGGTTTCTAGGGTAGCTCATCACCTGAAACAAGGTTTTGTCAACATTAGTCTAGTGTTTTTGCTGTTGGAGTTCCAGCTGCAAACGCACACCAGCCCCATTGAGGAAGTGATTCAGAGGTAAGGAGCATAATACAAGCTTCTAAGTACTCCTTGAGTGGCTACTCCTAGAGGCTTCTGGCCCCTTTTGTTCAACTTTATTAACTATGCAACAGTCTTGAAGGACCTGACCCAAGATATGAGATGTCAATCCAGCTTGAGGGATAAGTTCTGTTTTGCCTGAAGGAGTCATTAGATGGGGGAAGGCAGAGAGGTTTTGGGTGGAATGGAAGTTTTATATTGGGGTTTTATATTATATATTTGTGCTTGTAGTCATTCCCGTTTTGGGGATAGATGGAAAAAACAAACAAACATTTAAAACATTAGCCAAGATATAGATATGTTAGTATTATTAGTTTGGTATAAAAAGGGAGATGCCTGCAAAAAAATCCTAAGAATTTATCAATGTGGGGCAATTTCTACTAATAAAGGTTAGCTAATAGAGTTTGTTATTATTCGTTTTGATATTTAAAACTGGTGTTCACAAAACCTGGCACAGGCTCCTTTTAAACAAGTAACCCCAGTTAAGTATTAGACTGTAAACTCAATAATAGTTCCCATTATAAAGAAAAATCTTATTTCCTTTTGACCACACTGGAAAAGATTTTTGATAAAAAGCAAATAATTCAGTGGATGATAAATCAGACGTTCCAAAGAATTTTTTTTTCTTGTTAGACCTCTCTCCTGTAAGGACGAGATTTTACTTACTTTAGCAATTTGGGGTTGAGATGCCTAATTTATTAAGGAGCTTAACTACGGATTTGGGAGGCATCTCCATTTCAAAACGCCTGCTGGTTTTGTTTTGCTGCAAAACATCAATGTGAGTCTTACCAAAAGAATAAACAATTTACAGTTTAATTCCATACCCAATTACATTGAACTCAAAATAGATCTACAGTGTTAAGGGAGTTTCTCCACTCTGAGAACTAATCCTAATTGTGTTGAAGTGAAATATTCACAGCTCCCTGGAATGATCATTTTATCCCACATTTTGGCTGCACAGGCCCCAAATTAAATTCAGATGATATTAGGGATTAGAGGATCAATTTCCAACTAGCAATTTAAATGTGTTGCCATAAAGTGAATAGCTTCCCCAATATACTAAACCAGCTGTTCTCAAACTGTCAGTCGTGGCTCAGGTTACAGGTCCCCTGCGTGGGGCTGAAGCCCTTGGGCTTTGGTTTTGAGCCCCACACACACACCCTGGGGCAGCGGGGCTTGGGCGGGCTCAGGCTTGGGTCCCTCCTCCTGGGGTTATGTAGTAATTTTTGTGTCAGAAGGGGTCACGGTGCAATGAAGTTTGAGAACCCCTGTACTAAACCATTCTCATGTGCTTCATCAAGTTTCAGAAGTATGATATACCCAGTTGTTTCAAGAAAGTGATCTGGCAGTCTTTACAAAACAGTTGAAGTTATCAGAAAACATGTTAAGCTTGTTTAAAAAAAAAAGAGGTGAAGGTTGGGGATGCAGGACATTTTATACCCTACAATAGCCCCCAATTACAGATCTCTAGTTTCACAAAACACACCCACACTCCCGCAACTCACTTTACTTCCTAGTTGGAAATAATTCAAGTTGGTATCTGGGAAAAAAAAAAGGGGATAAATATTGCTCTCTCTTTTTACACTATTTGCTGAGATGAGCAATCTGAGGGAATGCAATTGTACACTCAAAGTCATTCCAAATGTTTGAGGTCCAGCTGACATGGGCAAGAACGAATCTTGGGCTTGCATAGCTAGGCACACATTACAACAGGAAAAAGTGGGAAATGTGTTCAAGTGTACACATTTAGCTGTAGACCTGCAGAGAGCTTGAGTCACTTCAGCTCTATTCATGTGCAAATACCATATTAACACAGCAAACTCATCTACTTCTGTGATTACACTAGCATTTCTGCCCTTCATTTTGGTTACCATTGCTACAAGAATCTCCTGCAGTCCATGAAAAAACCAAGACTAGTCCAAAGGTAACTGGTCAATAATTAGTCTAAATATCGTCAAAAACGGACAAATATTTTAAGCACAAATTAGAACAGTAACAAAAAAAGCGTTAGAGTTGGTGGTCTCCAATAGGCCTAGCCTTAGATACTTTTGCTTAATTACAAAAACAAATTACTAAACTGCGTTATTTTAACTAGAACAATGAAAAACAATGAAATGAAGTTTAGAAAATTAAAGAATAATTATTTTTACAGGTTAGCATTTAAATGTAATGGACTTCAAGATTGAAGAGTTACAAAAGAAAAATTAAACTAAACACACAGCAACTATGCAAGAAAAACAATCATTTTTAAATGCACTTATGCTAGGTAGGAGGCCAATTCTACAAGCATCTTGCTTTTTGCTATTTTTCTTTACCAACTTCAATTGCTTCATCTACATCAGGGGTTGGCAACGTTCGGCACACGGCTCGCCAGGGTAAGCACCCTGGCGAGCCGCGTGCCGAACGTTGCCGACCCCTGATCTACATCTTTGTTGTCATCAAATTCATCAGCATCCCACTCTTCCTCTGGTGATTACTGAGTCATCTTTTCAGATGCCATTTTTTCCTGTAATCTTAAATTGTGATTCAGGCACCAGCTTCCCAGCAGTAAAGGTCTTCAGTCTATTTCTGGTTTTGAATGGACAATTCCCCAAACTGACCAATTTCATTCTACACATGCAGCAGTACACGGACGTGTTAAAAAATTTCTGAAACCGTAGCCAGAGTGCCAGGAGGACACCCCTTTCCATCACAATGAAGGAGCAAGGTGTTTTGATTTAACTGCTGGGACTGCACTCCACATTGCTTTGCAACTGAACAGGCCACTTCTTGCTTTATAAATTTGCTACCTCCATCAGAACTGTTTGTTTGTTCATTTGGAAATCCTTTAAACATTTCAAACAGCTATTAAGAGGTCACAAGCTGAATTACATTAATCTTCAGAAAGGACTTGCCCTAGAAGCATGGATCAAGAGGGTAGGCAGCATTATGTGCAGGAATGATCGCTTGAGTTTTTAATGATATTATTTTGTCTATAATCTTTTTCTCTTAGATTTGTGTAGTGGACTGTGAAAAGAACAGTCCATTTACAAAATCTGTTTCTTAATATTCAGGAACCTGTTCCTGGATTCAGACAATGTAGAACTATCATTTTCCATATTCTGAATGGACTGAGCTACAGTTCAAGCAACAAGACAAGGGGGATATGACCCCACCACTTCAACAAAGAAGTGATTGAAGAGTCTTCTTGCATATCTGAAGTTCTTTGAGACATTTAACAGAAGATAACCTTCCTGTGCTCGATGGGTTACTCAAGATGGGTAAAACTGA